GAGCCTAACTTCTATCAATGGGGATTAGGCGTCTAAATACATGAGAGGATCTGGGCTGTAGCTTTTGATGATTTACACAGCTTTGCGTAGTGAGAAAGGTGTCAGATCATTACCACTGGAGAGAGGCCCCAGTGCAAATGAAAAGTAGGAACATGCTGTAATGAAAGTCCAGAACTTTATTTGCTGTGTAGCCTTTCCACCTGCTGGCTGGTATACTGAGTGACTTCACTAATGAATTTGCCCTAGGTATGTGCACTGCAATTTCATTTAGATTTATCACATCAGTAAGAGAATATTCCACTCACTCAGCTTGTTTGGCTTCCACCAGAAGTTTTTGGGCATCTTTCCTTTGTTTATTTAACTTGTTCACATTTATTTCATAGTTCTCACAGTGTGTTACAAGGTTCTGGATTTTATCAAGCATATTTGTTAGCTCTTGTGGAGTCCTTGGAAGGTTTATGACTAGAACATGCTTTGCCACCTTCTCTATGTCTTCTGGAGGTGCACTTTCATCTTTAACAAATAGAGTACAGAACATAATAAGATGTACCTTTCTGCACAGTGCAAATTTAAACATTGATACAGTGTCATATATGCTGAGTTATGCTGGCTAATAAAGTTGACAAACCACAGGAAGGAGGGGTCAAGCACTTGTTGTAGTGGAATGTTATATTTCAAGGTGCTGCTAATCTGTTGTCAGAGCAGGATAAAAATGGATTTGAGCCTACTCTGAACTGATGCATTAAAATTTGGGTGTAAAACTCAATCCCCAGAGGGCTCTAAATCATGGATGTTTGCAGTGTTGCTGTAGCCATGTCCCAGGATATTAGAGAGACAAGATAGGTGAGGTCATATCTTTTACTGAACCAGCTTCTGTTGGGCCAATAAAAGATGTTACGTCACCCTCCTTGTCTCTCTAAATCATTAAAAGAAAAGGAGTAGTTGTGGCACCTTAGAGACTAACCAATTTATTTGAGCATCAGCTTTCGTGAGCTACAGTGAAGTGAGCTCCTTTTCTTTTTGCGAATACAGGCGAACACGGCTGTTACTCTGAAACCTGTCTCTAAATCATTGACACATTTGCTGTGTTGTGCAGAGCCCATTTCTCCCCCCATGCACCCGATCAAGGGGAGTGTTGTGTGAACGTGGCCACAGTGTTTGGAAGGTGGCTTTATAACACCTATCCAATGGCTTACAAGTAAGACTGTGTGGAAATAAACATTTGAAAAGTTTGTGCAAATGTTGCAAAACAACCTACCAAAGATTAAACACTAGAAATGATAGTGGTGTGCTGTTCAGGGGGCACCGTTAACTCCTTCATTCCCGAAGGATAATTTTCTTAGAAATATTTTACAACAAAGAACAGAAACAAAAGCTAGTACACATGGCAATGCTCAGTGTGGCTGAGTTAACATTGCCATAGGCACCTTAACTGTTGTATTTCCTGCCTTTTTAATTTGTGAGTAAAACCAATTATAAATGATTCATTCACCGTTGCTATCAAGTAAACAAAATCTATGAATCACTAGGACTTATGCACAGTTTTGCCTTTATTTTTGATAAAGTAACTTAATTATCTCATTACAAAGGAGAACTCTGTTCCCAGCTGTCACTCCACCACAGTGGACTGGATGCTACTGGATTGCCAACCCCAAATGTTCAAAAATCATAAGTCAAGCCATCAAAACCACAAGACTGGCTTAAAAATCTTGAGAAATCAATAAAGCTGGGGTTTTTTACTTGCCTTCTGGGTTTGTTTGTTTGTTTGTTTGTTTTTTGAACCTTTAGGATTATTTTTTTTTCCACAGCGATGAGGGCTGGAAACTTTATTTTAAAATGAAAGCAGAGATTCTGCTGTAATCACTTGACTCCAGGTCTAGGGCTCTAAGAACACCAAATATTGTGAAATTCACAAGGGCTGGCAACACTGATTTGGTGTGTTCACTGTCCTAGCTATTTTTAAAAAAGGAGAGGAAGCAGGTCAAGGGAGGGGTGAGAGGAAAGTCCCCAGTTCCCTCCCTACCATGCAACAGTCAACCTGGTGCCTCTTAGTGAGCATGGAAAACTGCATTGTTAGGGGGTCGCTGGGCTTTATGCAGGTGAAGTGCAGAAGAGTGGGAGATGAAATGCAACTCCCAGGGGGTGAGGATGCAGAGCAGAGAAGGCCCCATGCTTGTAGACTGGAGTTGCAGATGCTCTGCCCCACTTATGACTGTTAGAGCTGCATAAATGTGGATCCTCCCCACCCCACCCAAGCCATCCTCATTGTCACCTTCTGCCAGCCTATTCAGGGCTGGGGGAATGTATCACTTTGTGTCCTGATTTCTGCAGGACTAGTGGGGGAAGGCTGAATGTGCCTTTTGCCTTCAGCTGGCAGCCCTGCCTATGTGGTCACTCCCTACATGTGGCTCCCCATAGAGAACCTTCCACGTGGGAAATGCTCTGGAGCTTGTGGGCATGACTGGACCAACAGTTAGTTGTGTAAGGCAGTAACCATCTGGACCACTTGCATCCACATGCTTAACATTAAGCCCATTAATAAGTCATCACAGGGTTGGGATTTAATAGATCTCAGGGAAATAGTCCAACATACTGATATGCCATAGGAGGGAGAGCTGTGTTAAACAGCATCACTGAAAGAGATTGATCGATTCAAGTCTAGACAGCAAATCAGACACATGTGTGCAGTGTGGCTCTTAAAGCTGAAAATGCCAGTGCATTTTGGGGGTGCCCAGGCTGAGGCATCACGTTACAGAGCAGAGAGGTAAATGCCATATGATACTGAAATACAGGAAGCAGGATACCAAGAAGAACTTTCCATGCATATTTACCTAACAAAAAGTCTTTAACTTTTCTGATGAACTCCTTTGCGTCCTCCCTGTCAATTTCAGTTTGATTCTTAGCTTTCTCTAGTTTCCTGTGTAACCGTGAGCCTTTTGTCTTGGTCTCTTCTGCCATTTTTCTGATGCTTTCAATCTGGAAATATTTTAAAATATAGTGTTATCCTTTCTAGGGTTTAAATGTCATTCTTTGGCAAGCTTGGCTCCCATCGGGATATATTAAAACAATACTTATAAAAGACTTCAGCCCAGCTTCTTGTCCTGTTAAACTGAGTGGGCGTTATAGCATTGACTTCATTTGGACCTTCACCAAAGACGACATAACATATTCCTTCCATTTTCAAAGACTGTTAAACAATTATTGTTTTGAGGGCAAAAAGTGTCCACGGTTAAAAACCGAGATGCTGCACTTCACTCACTCTTAAAATGATATGGACATTCAGGCTGAAGGAGAGGAATATCTAATAATTGCAGCTACACCCCCCATTTCTGCTTGGAATCAGTGTAAAATGTAACATTGTTACATTTATTATTAAAATTATTACATAAAGGATGGTGCCAAGGCCAGTAGGTTTGAAATATGCCTTTAAAAGTTGAATGTTTCCATCAATACTACATTCATAATCATTTAGGGCTGGTCTAATCTTGAAATGCTGCAGCAGTGCAACTGTACCACTGTAGCACTTCAGTGAAGACGCTACCTACACCGCTAATGGGAGAGATTCTCCTGTCAGGGTAGTTACTCTACCTCGCCGAACGGCAGTAGCTGGGTCAATGGGATCATTCTCTCCTCAACCTAGTGCTGTATTTAGGTTGGTTTAACTGCATTGCTTAGGGCTGTGTATTTTTCACACCTCTGACAAGGTAGCAATACCAATCTAATTTCCTACTGAAGACCAGGCCCCAGTTGACGGTTTTATTTTAATTAGCTATATTTCAACAGTTTTTTAAACAGCAAAACAGGTGTTTGTTTTGCTGGAGGCCATACTGTGTTTAGGTGAAACTTCTATGTACTGGTTCTCCACAATCCAGGGGGAGAATGCTTCACACGTGTTTCAAACAGATTAATTAATCCTCACAATTTCCCTGTAAGGTACTGTAAATATCACCTGTATTTTATAATGAGGAAACCGAGGCCCAGAGAGGTTAAAGGGACATTGTCAACCTGAAAAATCAAGTTTCTGTCTGAAAATGTTGGACCTATTATTGTCACAAGTATCACCTAAGATTATCAGGATTGAAAGAAACTAGTAACGAGAACAAATTTTTAATATTTTTCCACTTTGTTTACTGTGCATTTAACAGGATTTTATGTATAGTCATTTTCACTGTTTTGTTGCATAGTTAGCAAGGGAGACCTGGCAACTGAAGAGATCCTTATAAAACATCACAGGAACAGAACACTTCATATTTGTAAAGACATTTTTAAAAGTGAAAGAAACTATTTAAAAAGAGTGTGCCTTCAGAGAATGGCTTTTTAAAAAAAATTACTTGTGAACTTAAATTAACTTTATACACATGAGGAATCCCATTGATATCAATGAGCATGCAGTGGGACTTATTCAGGTGCATAATGTTAAGCAAGTGGTTAAGTCTTGGCAGGATCAGGACCAATGTCTTGCAAGGTCACCTGTCAAGTCTGTGGCACAGGCAGGAATATAATTTAGCTTTCCTGACTCCCAGTCCTGTGCTTTAGCCACTAGATGACATTTCTTCCTTGATGTAAAAAGGCACATTGGGACAAAAAAGAGGTAGATGTTCACTTTAGAAGACAATGACAGCACATCAACATTTTTGCCACTGTTTGTAGTATTGTGGGCAGATGTTGGCCCCAGAATATTAGAGAGACAAGGTGGGTGAGGTGATATCTTTTATTGGACCAACTTATGTTGGTGAGAGAGACAAGCTTTCAAGCTACACAGAGCTCTTGTTCACGGCTGGGAAAGGTATTCAGAGTTTCACAGCTAAATACAAGGTGGAACAGATTGTTTTACATAACTAATGAACACATATTGTGAGAGCTCATTCAGAGTAAAGTGGCCCATTAACAGCTCTGCAGTCATAGGACAAAAAAGGGGAGTTATTGGGTTACAGATTGTTCTAATAAATCATAAATTTAGTGTCTGCTGATTTGATCACTATCTGGTGGTTGGATTTCAGGGACTGCATAGCTGTCCTCCTGACAGTGGAGAGATTGTGGTAGATGTGATGTGCCAAAGGCACCACTGTAGTTCCCAACCATGATGACTACGTTAAAGAGGCCGACTGACAACTCTCCAACACCATCTACTATAAAGAACTCAAAGACCATCCCACAGCACAATTTACATTTGTGTGTGAAGATATCACCAAATCTTTTCCTAAAGAAATCCAAAAGAAACTCTACAAACTTCATCCCCCAGGACCACACCCCAGGGACCTGCTAATGCTTGCCGAGATATACAAACATCATATCTGGCCCTGGCACTCTTACTGAAGGAATCTCAGGACTCATCAGATCATCCTCAAACCACTCACCACACAAAGGGCCAGCTTCCTCCAGAACACAACTGACTTCCTCCAGAACCTCTGCAACATTAACAGTCTCCCTCCAAATACCATCATTGCCACCATGGATGTCACTTCCCTACACAGCAACTTCCCTCGCAATGACGACATGCATCACTGCCTCCTTCAAATATCTACAAACAATGGACAACACTCAGCTATCCACCCCAAACACGTCACTAAACCCATCCATTTCATCCTCACCCATAACAATTTCACATTCAACAACAAATACTGTGTCCAAACCATGGGAACAGCCATGGGTACTAGGATGGCTCCCCAAAAGGGTCACCTTGAGGAAGAATTTCTGAAAACACCATGAACCCTGTGATATACCTAAGATACATCAATGCTATTTTCATCCTTTGGACAGATGACCTAACTCCTTCAGGTTTCCACCACAACTTTAACAACCACCACCCATCCATCCAACACTCTCTCAAACACTCCTGCATCAACATCAACTTCCTGGACACTACAATCAGCTTCAACAATGGAACTCTACAGACAACTGTATACAAGAACCTCATGGACCACCATGCCTACCTTCAAAGATCCAGTAACCACCCCAAGAAATCTGTCATCTACAGCCATGCCCTCAGATACCACAGAATATGCTCCTAGGAGGAAGTCCAGGATACAGATCTTAGCACACTTAAAATTGCCTTCACCATATAAGGACACTCCACAAGACAAGTAGATCGCTTCAAGAATGGGCCACTCAAATACCGCAAAAGAACCTGCTTCAATACAGAAAAGAACAACAACAACTTTTGATCAAACACACGCACACACACACGCACACACCTAGTTATCACCTTCCACCCCACACTGGAACCCAGATGGTATATTATTAAATAATTACAACCCATATTCGACTGGGACCACATCCTGAAATCAATCTTTCCCATCTCCTCTTCTGGCCTTCAAACATCCCCCCAACCTCAACAATCTCATCATCAGAAGGAAGCTCCCCACAGACCAGGACCCACCAACTCAGAGCAGCACCAGAGCCTGCCATAACAACAGATGCAAAACCTGCAGACATCTCTCCATTGCTATAATGATCAAAACCCCCCTCAAAACACCTTTCACGATCTATAGGTCCTACATATGCCTATCACAACGTGTGGTATACCTCATCCAGTGGATTAAATGCCCTAATAACAACTACGTGGGTGAAACTAGACAGTCACACAGAAAAATGATAAAACACAAAAACACTGCACCACTTTTGAGGGAACACTTGTCACAAAGCAGTCACTTTATATCTGACCTCTCAGTCCTTGGCCTCAAAGGAAACCTTCACAGCATGAGACTCGGAGCTTAAAATCATAACTGTGCTAGACACTAAAAGTTCTTTTTGCTGATACAGACTAACATAGCTACCACTCTGAAATTAAAAATCATGGTCTTAATAAAGACGGCTTATTATAACAATCTGTAAACCTTTTACCCTCCCCTTTTTTTGTTCTATGCCTGCAAAGGTTTTAATGGTCCACTCTGAATCCTCTTTCACAATATGTGTTAACTCCTTATGCTAAACAATCTGTTTCACTTTGTATTTAGCTGGGACACTTGGAGTGCCTTTCCCAGACCTGAAGAAAAGCTCTGTGTAGCTCAAAAGCTTGCCTCATTCTCCAACAGTATTTGGTTCCATAAAAGATATTACCTGATGTACCTTGTCTCTCTAATTTTGACACTGTCCCTTTTATAATAAATTGTGCAATTACCTTCTGGACATGACCGTTTGGATTAGTCAGATTCTTTGTCTTAATTCCTGCATCACATTTGGCTGCCAAATTATTCCTCAGAATACACTAGATTCGGTTATACAGCACCTGATTTTCAGACTCTTGTAGGTGTCTGGTCAAATTATTTAACAGCATGTCTGTTTCTTCAGCTTTCTTGACTGCGTTTGTAGAAAGAGGAAGAGTTCCATTACAGTTTGGGCCACCACATTGTTCGTTTCCATTGCTATTTCGACATAAAGCTCCCCCACAAGCAGTTACAACACACGGCAGGTTTCCTGGTAGCCCACAACTCTGCAATAAAAGCACGTTAATGGCAAGAAGCAACACGTGTTGAGCTTTTCAGGATTCTGAAATGTAATACTGGAGCAAGGAAGAATATTTGACATTTATAATGGCACTTTTCTCCTAAAGGATCCGAAAATACTTCACAAAATACAACGCGACTGAGACGGAGGCACCTCTGGGATAGTGGGCAGTGAGCCAGCTGACACACACTATATAATAGTTGATGAAGTGGGGGAACCTTCTGGACAATGACAACAGTGAAAACAGTTAGTCTTGCAAAAAGTGCTGTGGGATGCTGAGGCTCTGTGTACAGTATAAATGTAGTCATGTCAAGGAATGCAGTTAGAGCTGGCTCATCCCCTCGCCTGGTTACATCTGTGGTTCACATCTGAAGTGTAGGCTGAACCTTAACTATATGAGTAAAGCCATGGCCTAACCATGAAACCATAGGTCTAACTGAGTTATAAAACATGGTTAAGATCCAATCTGTGTTCCAAACTGAACCATGCTTGTAACCAGGCTAGACAACAGAATTGTAACCAGGTTCTTTGACATGGCTTTATCTCATATGACCTTTAGACAGGGCCTTAGTGTCCATACAGAGCAGACAGTACCTCTGTTTTTAAGACCTCATCCCCAAGATCCCTCTCACTTCACAGGATCTTAGAGCCTGGGCTTCTGCCTGAGCCCAGAAATCTATGCTGCAATAAAACAGCCCCGCAGCCGGAGTCCTGTGAGCCTGTCAGCTGGCACAGGCCAGCCACGGGTCTCTAATTGCAGTGTAGACATACCCTGAGATTTCCTTTTCCAGATTTAAAAGTATTGCAAACATTCCTTCACAAAAAAAAAAAAAAGAAAGAAAGAAAAAAGAGTGTATATTAGTGTTACTGATTGGCAACAGCAAAAGTAAGTATTTTATTTATCTCCCTTTTAAAAATAAAATCCATAGCACTTTACCTTTTCATTCAGTTTTTGGATATCTGGAATCTTGAATAGTCTGAGCTGCTCCAAGGTATAGTTTTCTTTTGAGGTTCGATTGCCTAACATGGCAAGTATGCCATCCCTGGTGTTTTCTGAATATCTTATGAGGGGGATTGCTCCACTGATTTTCTCTACAGCAAATGATGACATTTGGTAATACTTCCTGATGTTGCTGAAGGAATCTACATGAAGAGAAACAGCATTTAATATGAGAGGCAGACCATATTTTACTGTATCTAACAAATACATTCTTGATACATGATGAGTGGCAGTAGCTTCGCTAGGTTGTCAGCTGGTTCTTGACTCTGCATGAGAAAGGAAATTAAGCTGGGGAAGCCAGGGATTGTGATTTTCTGTCAGGTTTGTGAATCCTTTATTCAGCCAGCTATGGAGTTTTTATTTTAGAGCTCTAGCTATTGAAAGCCTAAAAACAGATACAACAGGGATGGTTCCCACATCGTTTTTGGATGTCCAAGATATGGGGCAGACAAATAAAGATTCCGGTGTATGAACGGGTTCTGATTAATGACTCAGACAGCTATTTACTTGTATCAAGGGCTCATCAGCTGATGGAATTATTGACTAGATGGAGCATCCAGTCACTTCTGCCACCAGTCACTGTCAGAAGACAGGATACAGGGTTAGATGGACCACTGGTCTGACACAGTATGGCAGTTCTTATGTTCTGCTATTTTGAGGATGGGATGGGAGAATTAATTTTGCCAATTGAAAAACCCCTAAAAATGGTCATTTCTATTATCACAATTCAGTAAAGCACTTAATCCTATCCCTATTCATCATAGCACTTAAAAGTTAAAGAGGTGCTTTACTGAATTGGGACATAAATGTAGAACAGAGATTGAAATTTCTGGGGTTTCATGTGGTTTGGGAAAAATGCAATTTTAGATTTGATGCATTCTTACTTTTTTTTTTATTCCCCTGTTAATCCCATAAACAAGAGAAGAAATGCTTTCAAGAAAGAACCTTTCTTGTTTCCTTATCTTAAGCTCTCAAATTTGTATTGAAACACAATAGTTTAAAGGAAATTTTTTCTGAAACTCAACACATTTTGCAAAACTTAAAATGTAAAGAAAAAGTTGTAAAAGTTTCATAAAAACTACAGCTTGCACTGTGTTCTCCCACCCTGTTAGCGTGTGCAGGGAGTAGAGACTCAAGTGGCTTCATTGCAATGAGATATTATTTATAGGTCATTGCATATCATAGGTTTCTATTTTCGTAACCAAATACAGGGCTTGTCTACACTTAAAAAGCTACAGCTGCATAGCTGCGCTGCTGCAACCACGCCTTTGTAGCGCTATAGATACTACCTACGCTGATGGGAGAGATTCTCCCATTGGTGTAAATGATCCACCTCCCTGAGTAGCTAGGCCAATGGAAGAATTCTTCCATCAAGCTAGTGCTGTCTGCAGGGATTTAGGCTGGCTTAACTACGCCGCTCAGGGGTGTGAATTTTTTACACTCCTGAGAAGGAAGTTATGCTGACCTAATTTTCTAGTGTAGACCAGGCCTCAGCTGGATACTAGAGGCCTGATCCAAAGCTGACTGAAGTTAATGAAAATTTTGACTTCAACAGGTTTTGAATCAAGCTGCAAAGCCGGAGCTGGAAAGTTAATTTAATGAGTATGCATCAATTGTGAATATTCATTTTAAGGACATTGATGTTTGTGTCTTTCCAGCAACTTTAATTAACCACTATAATATTGACATGCTCTAGACTGCTAGCCAAACAAATACTTAGGAGGAGATCTATGCACTACTGATGCTCTGTTTTTCAGGGTCTTATGCAAAGACAGATGTGTGGGGTCCCATTCCCCACCCATGGCTCAGGCTTTCTAACCTCACCAGACCGACATCACACCAAAGGGAAACAACTCTGACGTGGTGCTGGCACCAAACTGAGGATAGATGCAGGGAAAGAAAAAACAAACTGAACAGGGAGGAAGGCTCACGAGAGAACTGGCAGCCCGGTGGCAGTGCTTATTGTTGGAGCTGTCAGATACTTGGTGGCAGGGCTAATGGCTGCATAGGGCCATGACTCCGTATGTAGTATAAACCAGAGACCTCAATTATGGGTGTTATATATGAATGTCTGACTGTTGGTCTCCAAAAGGTTGAAAGTATGAAAAAGCCTCTGAAGCTGACCAAACGGCATCAATGGGTTAAGCTACCAAGGTACATAAATCAGTGACCTGCTTACCACTTTGCATAAGGTGTTCTTTCTTAGCCCTGCTCTGAATAGGTTTCTCCAGCTTTATGGATTGCTTTGAGAAAATCTGAGCAGGAAGTGATCAGTGTGGGAATAGCACCATGCTGTGCTGAAACACTAGTGCACCAGCCTGAATGGAGGAGTCAGGCACAAAGGGGTGTGGCAGAGTGGATCATCTACAATTAGTTGTTTTCTTTCCTTCCTTCTGTCTTTCAGTTTTATCTTTCATCCTCTGTTTCATTCTTTTAATCTTATTTAGCTCCATTTTATTCTTATTGAAATAAAACAGCAAGAAACTTTGAATTTAGAGAAGTGCTGGTATTTTGCTTTATGTAAGCACTGAGCACATTAATAAAACAACAACAACAGCAAGCCCACTTTGAATGTACACATATTCTATAGGCTGGAATCAATTTACATCTTTCTGACAGTATTATAGAAATAAGAGTTAGGTTCTTTATTGTATTGTATGGTGTTTGACATTCCAGCCATAGGCTTCCAAAATCCAAGATCTTTCTTGTCTTGAGCATTATTTGTTTTGATCAATCAGTAGGGTGGTTTGTACTGTATGTACTCCACTGCTCTTAATGGATGGACTAACATCTGCTCAGTGTTTCTGCCTCATTCTCTAGAAGCTGGCCTATGAGGATATCATTCCTACTACTCCTACCAGCTGATGGAGATTCTACTTAGCATGAGTTAATATTAAGCATAATTCACTTAAGAATGCAGTGCGAACAGGAACCTTGTTCTAAAACTGCAATTTTCTGTGATGTTAAGCAAGGCACTTCACCACTCTGAGCTCTGTTTTCCCCAGATGTATATTGTGAGAATATTCAGATTCAGATTCCAAGGCCAAAGGGATCACTGTGATCATCTAGTCTATGTTATATGGGAAGTCAGGCCATAGAACTTCCCCAAAATACTTCCTAGAGCAGATCTTTTAGAAAAACATCCAATCTTGATTTAAAAATTGCCATGGTTAGAAAAACCACCACAAGCCTTGGTAAGTTGTTCCAATGGTTAATTAACTTCACTGTTTAAAATGTTCACCTTATTTCCAATCTGAATTTATATAGATTCAACTTTCAGCCATTGAATCTTGTTTTACCTTTGTCTGCTAGACTGAAGAACCCTCTATCAAATTTTTGTACTTCAGGTAGGTACTTCTAGACTTCAAGTTACCTCTTAACTTTCTTTTTGGTAAGCTAAATAGATGAGTTTCAGAGTAACAGCCGTGTTAGTCTGTATTCACAAAAAGAAAAGGAGTACTTGTGGCACCTTAGAGACTAACCAATTTATCTGAGCATGAGCTTTCATGAGCTACAGCTCACTTCATCAGATGCATACCGTGGAAACTGCAGCAGACATTATATACACACAGAGAACATGAAACAATACCTCCTCCCACCCCACTGTCCTGCTGGTAATAGCTTATCTAAAGTGATCATCAAGGTGGGCCATTTCCTGCACAAATCCAGGTTCTC